ACTTGTCGTCAAACGAGTACTGCGCTTAAACTTTACGTACCACAGAGAAAAGTAATATTTATTTTGTAAATACAAAAGTGTTGCACAAGGCCAATAGGGGGATTGGGGAACGCTAATCTTCAAATTGTTTTATCTTCAACTTAACTAGCCACGATAACTGACTGTTGTGGAGTGATTTCGCAGTAGGGGCTTGTATTTGTACTAAGTCGGTCCTAAAATAGGTTCGACGTACTAAACGTTAGGAACTTGATATAATAGGTATTACGCAGAGTAATCTTGTTGTGGTCGCTGATACCTTCGTATTCGACTAACTATCGTCTGCCATCGACTGACTGAATGACGATATTCAGTCACCCCCCCCATGAGGGCATCATGTGGCACAAGGCTGGTTTAACGTGGGAATGCCGAGCCCGTGGGCTCGGCCTAAAATATGCCCATTGAACCCGTATAAACGGGTTTAGGGTCGGTTCACCTCCCTGAAAGAGTACCCACCCTTCGGCGTAGCCTCCTTCGGGTTCCTCCCCGCCCGAAGTCAGAGAGTTCAACCGATCAGCCTGTCGACCGACATCGACTTGAACACTAACTGATGATATTCAGTCGCCCCCCCCCTACTGAGGCAGCATGTGACACAAGGTCGGTTATTTATTGTGGGTTCTCCGAGCCCGTGGGCTCGGCCCAAAAATATGCCCATTGAACCCGTATAAACGGGTTCAGGGTCGGTTTACCTCCCCGAAAGAGACTCCACCCCTCGGCGTAGCCTCGTTCGGGTTCCTCCTCGCCCGAAGGCAGAGACTTCAACCGATCAGTCGGTTCAGAAGTGAATGACTGATTGACTGACGATATTCAATCACCCCCCCACACACACACAGACACACACTGGGGAAGCATGTGACACAAGGTCGGTTATTTATTGTAGGTTCTCTGGGCCCGTGGGATCGGCCCAAAAATATGGCTATTGAACCTGTATAAACGGGCTGAGAGTCGGTTTACCTCCCCGAACGAGACTCCGCCCCTCGGCGTAGCCTCGTTCGGGTTCCTCCCCGCCCAAAGGCAGAGAGTTCAACCGAGCAGTCAGTTCAGAAGTGAACGACTGACAATATTCAGTCACCCCCCCACGAGGGTGTCATGTGGCACAAGGCCTTTTTAACGTGGGAATTCCCGAGCCATTAGGCTCGGCCAAAAATAGCCCATTTGAACCCGTATAAACGGGTTCTGGGCCGGTTTTACCTCCCCGAAGGAGACTCCACCCTTCGGCGTAGCCTCCTTCGGGTTCCTCCCGCCCGTAGGAAGAGAGTTGAACCGAACAGTCGCTCAGAAAGTGAACGACTGAGATATTCAGTCACCCACCCACGAGGGTGTCATGCGGCACAAGGCCTTTTTTAATGTGGGCATTCCCGAGCCATTAGGCTCAGCCAAAAAATAGCCCATTTGAACCCGTATAAACGGGTTCAGGGCCGGTTTAACCTCCCCGAAGGAGACTTCGCCCTTCGGCGTAGCCTCCTTCGGGTTCCTCTCGCCCGTAGGAAGAGAGTTTAACCGAACAGTCGCTCAGAAAGTGAACGACTGAGATATTCAGTCACCCACCCACGAGGGTGTCATGCGGCACAAGGCCTTTTTTAATGTGGGCATTCCCGAGCCATTAGGCTCAGCCAAAAAAATAGCCCATTTGAACCCGTATAAACGGGTTCAGGGCCAGTTTAACCTCCCCGAAGGAGACTTCGCCCTTCGGCGTAGCCTCCTTCAGGTTCCTCTCCGTCCGGAGACAGAGAGTTGAACCGTGCAGTCGCTCAAAAAGTGAGCTGGACTGAGATATTCAGTCACCCACCCACGAGGGTGTCATGCGGCACAAAGGCCTTTTTTTAATGTGGGCATTCCCGAGCCATTAGGCTCAGCCAAAAAAATAGCCCATTTGAACCCGTATAAACGGGTTCAGGGCCGGGAGCTAACCTCCCCGAAGGAGACTTCGCCCTTCGGCGTAGCCTCCTTCGGGTTCCTCAAATCCGGAGACAGAGAGTTGAACCGTGCAGTCGCTCAAAAAGTGAGCTGGACTGAGATATTCAGTCACCCACCCACGAGGGTGTCATGCGGCACAAGGCCTTTTTAATGTGGGCATTCCCGAGCCATTAGGCTCAGCCAAAAAATAGCCCATTTGAACCCGTATAAACGGGTTCAGGGCCGAGTTTAACCTCCCCGAAGGAGACTTCGCCCTTCGGCGTAGCCTCCTTCGGGTTCCTCTCCGTCCGGAGACAGAGAGTTGAACCGTGCAGTCGCTCAAAAAGTGAGCTAGACTGAGATATTCAGTCACCCACCCACGAGGGTGTCATGCGGCACAAGGCCTTTTTTAATGTGGGCATTCCCGAGCCATTAGGCTCAGCCAAAAATAGCCCATTTGAACCCGTATAAACGGGTTCAGGGCCAATTTTAACCTCCCCGAAGGAGACTTCGCCCTTCGGCGTAGCCTCCGGGTTTCTCCGTCCGGAGACAGAGAGTTGAACCGTGCAGTCGCTCAAAAAGTGAGCTGGACTGAGATATTCAGTCACCCACCCACGAGGGTGTCATGCGGCACAAGGCCTTTTTTAATGTGGGCATTCCCGAGCCATTAGGCTCAGCCAAAAAAATCCCATTTGAACCCGTATAAACGGGTTCAGGGCCGAGCGACCTCCCCCGAGGGAGACTTCGCCCTTCGGCGTAGCCTCCTTCAGGTTCCTCCGTCCGGAGACAGAGAGTTGAACCGTGCAGTCGCTCAAAAAGTGAGCTGGACTGAGATATTCAGTCACCCACCCACGAGGGTGTCATGCGGCACAAGGCCTTTTTTAATGTGGGCATTCCCGAGCCCTTAGGCTCAGCCAAAAATAGCCCATTTGAACCCGTATAAACGGGTTCAGGGCCGAACCTCCCGAAGGAGACTTCGCCTTCGGCGTAGCCTCCTTCGGGTTCCTCTCCGTCCGGAGACAGAGAGTTGAACCGTGCAGTCGCTCAAAAGTGAGCTGGACTGAGATATTCAGTCACCCACCCACGAGGGTGTCATGCGGCACAAGGCCTTTTTTTAATGTGGGCATTCCCGAGCCATTAGGCTCAGCCAAAAAATAGCCCATTTGAACCCGTATAAACGGGTTCAGGGCCGAGTTAACCTCCCCGAAGGAGACTTCGCCCTTCGGCGTAGCCTCCTTCGGGTTCCTCCTCCGTCCGGAGACAGAGAGTTGAACCGTGCAGTCGCTCAAAAAAAGTGAGCTGGACTGAGATATTCAGTCACCCACCCACGAGGGTGTCATGCGGCACAAGGCCTTTTTAATGTGGGCATTCCCGAGCCATTAGGCTCAGCCAAAAAATAGCCCATTTGAACCCGTATAAACGGGTTCAGGGCCGAGATAACCTCCCTGAAGGAGACTTCGCCCTTCGGCGTAGCCTCCTTCGGGTTCCTCTCCGTCCGGAGACAGAGAGTTGAACCGTGCAGTCGCTCAAAAAAGTGAGCTGGACTGAGATATTCAGTCACCCACCCACGAGGGTGTCATGCGGCACAAGGCCTTTTTTAATGTGGGCATTCCCGAGCCATTAGGCTCAGCCAAAAATAGCCCATTTGAACCCGTATAAACGGGTTCAGGGCCGATTTAACCTCCCCCGAAGGAGACTTCGCCCTTCGGCGTAGCCTCCTTCGGGTTCCTCTCCGTCCGGAGACAGAGAGTTGAACCGTGCAGTCGCTCAAAAAGTGAGCTGGACTGACTGACTCGTTACTCTTACTACTCCTACTTATTATAGGCGGGAGAGTCTATTAACTGTAGAATAGGGGTGTTCCACCATAACACTGACCCAAACCTACCACAGTATTCCTTACACCAAAACAAGATATTTATTAGGCCAACCCCTAAAGAACACCAGGAGCTCTATTTTTAAACCCTTACGTTATTACGGCACTGCACGGATATTTTTTTTTTGTTGTTTTTGAGAAGAGGAATTGTTATCATACATTCATTTCATCGAACTCCGGTTTGGTGACGCTAAAATCAAGCAAGTGCAAACATTTAAATATCTGGGAAGGTGCGTTCGAGTAGCTAATAATGCGTTCTATATATCAGTGAATGTTGGATAATCTCCTAACAAGTGCAGAAAAAAAACTTGAAGTAGTAGAAATATTATTCTGCAGAAGAAGAATGCTAGAGACGCAATTTACACCGAAGGCTGGAGCGAAGAGAGACGAAACGGAGATTTGCCGCCGGGACAAAGCAGGATCGAAAAAAGAAAGCAACACAGCGACATCAGGGGAAGCGTCTTCACTTCACTGTACAACCATAATAAGTGCTGAACCACCATTGGCTGAAGTGTAACTTTTGGGGCGCAGATCCATGGGGTCTCTCGAGACCGACAGATGCTACACCCAAATTCTTTAACGAAAATTAAACTTTATTTTATACAATGACAAGTCTATACTGCACGATAAAACCTTAATTTCTACAATTAAAACGAATATTTAAAAGTAAAAGTTGAATATCAGACTCCCTAAAAGCAAGGAGCCTCTCTCAACAGACAATATATACCGTGAAAACTATCAGATTTCTTAACTAAATCATCAGAGCAATTTTGCAGAAAGAAAAATAAGTTTTTTTTTTATAAAAACCATTTAGTAGTCAGTTAGTGTAAAGTTACACTCAGTTCATAAATTAACCATTTTTTAAAAAAATAATATTAATAAAATAAAATTATTTTTGTATTTCATCAGATTATCCTGATTTACATTTTTTTTTAAATTTCAAATTAAAGTATAAATGTTTTGCTAAGTTGGTCATTTTTCTAAATGAATATGTAATATAAATGTATCTAGTGTTTCGATTTTATAAATGGTCAGCTGTGTAATCTTCAGGTATTGAGGGGTATGCGGACCATGTGAGTGCGGATGATGAAGCACGATATGTTTGAAGTTACTGCAAGATATATGATTTAGCGAAATCTGATAACATTGGCAGATGTGAATGTAATTATTTCATGGGAAAATTAATTAAAATAAATCACTGGAAAAAATTAAGGATAGATAGATAGATAGATAGATAGATAGATAGATAGATAGATAGATAGATAGATAGATAGATACTGAACAGAGCGAAATAGATAGATAGATAGATAGATAGATAGATAGATAGATAGATAGATAAGAACAGGCTGAGATAGATAAATAGATAGATAATGATACTACAGGAAACGATACTTTTTTATAATCTGGAAAAATCTTTCTCTGTAATTTCCTTTTAAACAATTTTATTTTGGATAAGACTAAAAGATCCTTTTGTCGGCACCTTCAGCCTTAGCAATATCAGTTTTTCTACCTCCAAACATCAAAGGCTGATAGAAACTGATTTTACATATCCTCCCACATTCCCCAACATAATTTTCTTGCCCCTTCCTTCCATAAACAATAGTAAAGTAAAAGTGTCGTATTTATTCTTCGTCTCAAATACCAAACAATATTCTATAAATAATAAACCAGTGCTGAATGTTTTGCTTTAATGAATTATGTCTGAATATTGGTATTTGAAAAATGTTTTAAAATCTCTTTTAATGTCTGTGAAAATCATTAAATGACAAAAGGAAGGATTTTGTTTATGGGAAGATTTGAGTCTTGACATAAGCATATCAGGATCAGTTTAATTTGAGTCTCAACACTAGCCTACCAGGCTAGATATGTTCTAAATCTTAACATCAGCATACCAGGATCAGTTTGATTTAAGCCTTAACCTCAGCATGCCAGGATCAGTTTGATTTTAGTCTTGACATCAGCATAACAGGCTCAATTTGATTTGAGTCTTAACACTAGCATACCAGGCTAGATATGATTTGAATCTTAACATCGGCATACCAGGATCAGTTTGATTTTAGTCTTGACATCAGTCTCAAAATCTGGTTGATACAAGTTTTTTTTGTTTTTTGTTTACTTTTTAAAGTTTCTCTTTTCAGATATCTTCATAAAAACTGCACCTTATGGTGCTAAGTAATAAAAAGATTTATGCCTGAGTTCATTGTCATGGCACCATGTTACCATGCCAATTAGAAATCCCTAGTGTAAAAGATCAAAAATCAGACAAAGTACCGCAAACGTTTTCTAGATCACAGGACCAACAAAGTGACAGTAACTCATGAATATTTCTGTCTGAATTTCTAGGAAAAAAGCTATCATTATTTACATTATTTACTTGGGGAATATTGTCCTCAGACTGAGATCCGTAGACATACTGGGATGGCCAAGAATGTTGACCATGTTTGCCGTAGTCTCCGAATATGGAATCCAGTGAAGTCCGTAATCTATTCAATATCAGAAGTCGGCAGTGGAGATATTTTGGGAGAAAAAACAAAATGGCTGCCTTTATACACGTCGCATTGAATATTTTGAGCTTTCTGATTGGTTAAGCCTTCTATTGGTGAACTATAAAATGAGTCAGCTCATTTTGACTGGCTCACTAGTACAGACATATATCTAAAAAATTGTAACAAAGAATGCATTCCAAAAACTGGGCAAGACAGGAGGGTTTCTTTCGTGTGAAAGAAAGGATTACCGAGCTTCTACGTACGGCTGTCCTCCTGTACGGCAGCGAATGTTGGACAGTCTCCTCAAAGATGAAGAAAAAACTCGAGGCAACGGAGATGTCGTTCTACAGAAGGATGCTGAGGATATCATGGACCGAGAATGTGAGCGACGATGATGTCTTAGAGAGGATGCAAGCAAGGAGGAAACTTATACTTAACATCAGGAAGAGGTAGATGAAATTTCTGGGACACGTAATGAGAAAGGAGGGCTTGGAGAATCTAATACTCACAGGTCGAATAGACAGAAAGAGAGAGAAAGGAAAGCAACACGTGACATACCTGGCAAGGTTAAGCAAGTGGATGACAGAACGTGGCCTGGGGGAGGTGACATCTGGGGGAGGTGGCAGAGGGACGAAATTTATTGAGAGCTACAACGGATAGGGAGAAGTGGAGAGCCATGATAGTCTACGTCCTGAAAGGACACGGCATATAAAAAGAAATATTGCCCTCCTTGTTTCTAGTACAATGTTTCGGTCGTTATGCCCTCTGGCCCTCATGAGGTTTATGTCGAACCAGGTAATCCTTATTTAATCTGAGGCAGTAGACCGTCCTGAGTATGACGATAAACTGCATACGCGCCCTGGGTAAGACGATAAACTACATCCAGCAGCAATGCCTCTGATGAGGAGGTTTTGAGGAGCGCGAAACCACTTCTTAATTGCTGATATTTCCAGGTCTACCCCTACCTGAGGTGGTAGCACATGTTAGGGTCCCAACTACGGGTAAATAGTTAACACCCAAACTGGGGTCAAATCAGTATGTAAGTGTAGAAATAGATTTTAATACCAGAAATACTTTTAAAAAATTATTACTTGAAGAAAAAAATATTACCAGAAATAACAATCTTGTCGTCACTAAATAACCTATTGAGGTTGATATGCCGTAAACCAAACACAACCAAAACAGTATCCGTCTATATTTCTGAGATGAGGTATTATGTACACTATTTACATTATTCGGACTATTGTCCTCATCTGTGTCTTTATATTTATTACAACGTTTCGGCCGTTGTACCCTCCGGCCTTCTTCAGGTTTATTGGAATGTCGAACTGAACCCTTTATTTCACTAACTGCGGTAGACTGATAACTAACATGCATTAAACATGGCGCGTGAAACTAGAACTGTGTACCCCAGTGAACGAAATAAAGCGTTCAGTTCGACATTCCAACCACCCGATTTCTACTGAGTCCATGAGCCCGCTCCAGAGATTGAAATCATAACGACTATGTCAATGAATTCAAAAGAACACAGCTTTAATCCACTACGCTATCATTCCGTGGGACAATTCTGCCTGCTGATCAGTGTTGCTGCTGCTTGCCATTCTTTTGTTACCGCTGCTGCAGTTGAAACCCTGCCAGCATTTGTTTTACTTTCTTTACCCATGAGAACTTCCTTGCAAAATTCCCTGCTACTGATAACAGTAACCAGATAAGTTCTTGTAAAATCCGCCACTGCTATAATCGGTTTTAATTGCTGGAATTTACAATTAGCTTAGCTTAGAGGAATGTGATAAATTATGCTAGGAAGAAAGTGTTGCAGCGATTTTCCAAAGGCGGGAGTCATCTATGCCTTGCAAATCAACATCCAAAATCCCAGCTTTTATGCGGATTTGGATATGGATCCTAGGCAGAGCAGGAGAACTATATGCATTTTACTAAACGTAGCCAAGTATGACACAAGGACCTAAGTATAGTGCCGAGATGTAGAATCACGACACAGTTATAATGTATTGCTAACCTATTGTTCAACGAGCAGAGAAAACAAGGGGAATTTTCAAGTCCGTTTTTCGGAATTAATTTCCATAAATCATTGCCTTAATATAAACTGCAAGCTTTCATTTCGTATTCTATTTGCGTCGTTCGATATCTCGACGTTGGCTGGACATTATTCTTATTATTTATTGTTCGATTTCGGATTTGGGACTATTGCCAGAGAATTGTCTTTCGGTGGGCGGAAGTGATCGAGCAGGAATCTACTGTAATTCCTGTCCACCAGATATTTCGGGAAATTCTTCCTTTCCCGTTTGCTGCTGATCCTTTTTCGAAATGTTTACTTCAACTTTACTATTTTGTAATATTGCCCTTGGACAGAAAAAAAAAACAACTTTTCACTGTTGAAGATTTTAACTGAAATAATTTGGAGGTCATCAGAAAACCACTATAGAAGAAACGATGTGTCATTATTTACATTATTCGGATTATTGTCCTCGTCTTTGTCGCCATATTTATTACAACGTTTCAGCCGTTGTACACTCCGGCCTTCTTCAGGTGGTTGGAATGTCGAACTGGACCCTTTATTTTGCTCACTGGCGTAGACGGTTCTAGTTCCACGTGCCATGTTTTAATGGATGTCAGTTATCAGTTATATCCTGTTAATTCCCCTCTCCAAGTTCTCCACTGCCTTAACCGGGTATTGAACTCACACTCTTTGGTTCATGTCACTGTATCTAATCAACGCCTTTATCCAATGTGCCATGTGTCTTTGAGAACACATGGCACAGTTCGACATTCCAACCACCTGAAGAAGGCTGGAGCGTAAATAATGTAAATAATACCTCATCTCAGAAATACAGACAGATACTGAAAGGTCGAAACGTTGTAATAAATATGGCGACAAAGATGAGGAAAATAGTCCGAATAATGTAAATAGTGTACATAATACCTCATCTCAGAAATATAGACAGATAATGAAAGGACGAAACGTTGTAATAAATATGACGACAAAGATGAGGACAATAGTCCGAATAATGTAAATAGTGTACATAATACCTCATCTCAGAAATATAAACAAATACTGAACGATGTCTCATATCTTCTATTTCTTTTTTTTTCTGTGTTTAATACTAACATATCATGTCGTTGGGTCATTACATTTGGAGCGACCATCATACTTTTTAAATAAGATTATTATGTTGCTCTGTTTTGATGTTTTTCTTTCATCTTTCAATGATAATGTTATTAAGCTTATTAGACAATATGAAAGGAATTTGCTTAAAATAAATAGAAAAAAACTTGTCTATATTATTTAATGAAACATGTATCAATGAGAAAATGCTGCCTAAATACACACAATTTAATATATATATATATGCATGCGTGTGTGTGTGTGTGATTGTGTGTGTGTGTGTGTGTGTGTGTATGTGTAAATAGTAATGGTACAACGTAAGTAGTTGAACAAATGAATAAGTATTAAATTTTTTCAAATATTTTTTCACTATTCTTCGATAATGTTATTTTAAATACTTTGTTTTAATAATCATTTAATATTCAAAGCAAGTTCATATTTGTATGTGTATATTTTTTAAAATCTTTATTGTTATTTCGTATCATTTAAATGTATACCATTTAAAAAATTGTTTAAATGTGCCGGGATATTTTCATTTGCTCATAGTTGGGGTTTTGCTTAAAAAGGTTGAGAAACACCGTTCTAACAAAAGCAAAACATTATAAAAGTAAAAAGAAAAAAATACATTTTACATTAGAAATACCAGCCATGCATTTTTATATGCAAAAGTACTACCAATACATATGTAAAGTAAAATAAGCAGTAATGCACTTTATATAAGAATTACCAACAATAGATTTTATAGCAAAATGACCAACAATACATTTTATCAGTAGTTGACAACATACAATTGCATTCAAAGCATATTTAGTTGAAAACATAAAATTGCGTCCAAAATATTTAGATTTCGGCATTAAATAACCCATAGAGGTGTTGACATGCCGATAAACAAAATCAACAAACCAACAATACATATTTATAGTAAAATGACCAACAATACATTTTATCTGTAGTTGAAGGCATACAATTGCGTTCAAAATATATTTAGATGAAGCCATAAAATTTTGTTCAAAACATTTAGATTTCGGAATTAGATAACCTACAGAGGTGTTGATATGACGATAACCGAAATCAACCATAAATGAAAAAAATTATAATCAGTTTCACTTTCTGCGTCGATAACCGTTACACAACGCGTACATACTTTAACCTTTAACACTCTACATTATTCATTAGTATTACTTTTCCTTTCACTATTTTTGGCGGCTCCTCAAATGCAAGTGGTAGTAGCCTTGACCTTGATTTAAGTCAAGGATGTTTTTGCTGTTGTTATAGCAGGGCGTGGCAACACAACTGCGAAATTTAAATATACAGTTATTTGGCGAATAAAGTCAACTGTAATGCTTTCCTGACTGATTGAAGTTGCCTAAAGAGTGTTTAAGTTTAACCTTTTGAGGCCTGGCTACCGCTTTAGCGGTGGTAGAGAAAAATGACATAATTCCCAGCCACCAATTGAACAGTGATAGAGAAAAATGATTTAATGCCCAGCCACCGGTTGAAAGGTGGGTAAAAACTTGTAACTATTTTTATATTTACCGTGAAATATTACATACCAATTATCTCTGAATTTTGTCATAGGAGCTCAGGCAGAAGTGTTAGGAAGGCAGGACTCAAAAGGTGAATATTGAATTTAAATAAACGGTATATTTTATGTCAATTTATACGGTAAATATGAAGAATACAATCGATTGAAGTCCTTCTGAGGAAATACTAAATATCAGAAGGAAATATATCAGGAGGAGAATTATGATAAATATTTTGAAACTTGTGTTTTGTAGTAAAGAAATAAACCCTCCTCAGTGAACATAATGTCGGGGGGTTAAATTAATCAGTCATCATGTTTTTCAGTTGCAGTCTAATTGACTTAGTATAATTAGCGGTCACAACTCATACTAAATTTTGCCACGTCGCAGTTTTAGAAACGGTATCACCTTGCCGTTCCCTCACCTGACAGATAGAAGGACGTGCGGCCTATCGCTGTATGCAATGAGATCAGTTACCCTGACTTCACATTCCAAATATTGGATTTACTACCCCACTGCTTGCATTCCGTAGTATTCCCAAACCGTCGCCATCTAAATATTTACCAGCTTCGACGTTGCTTAACTTCAAGGTCGGACGAGTGCCCGTACTGTCGGTGGGATTTAATCATCTTTTACCCTGTCCTCACATTCCAAAGATGGGATTTACTACCCCCACTGCTTGGAGTACGTAGTGTTCCCACATTGCCCCCATCTAGATATTTACCGGCTTCGACACTACTTAACTTCGAGGTCGAAAGAGAACCGGCACTTTCGGTGTAATTTAACCGTACGGCGGTAAAAAATGAAAATCGTTTCTTTAATACCCGGATAAATATAATAGTCCAGTTTTATTAAAGCTTGGTTTTATCAAGTTCAGAGATGCTGCAATTCTTCAGATGTTAAAAAAATAAGTGAATAACTGTAAGCTCATTTATTTTTGGTTGCAATTCTTTTTCAGATCACTTTTAGGATATTGCCCGACCATTATATAAAAATCAATACATTATATACAAATCGATAGATGTCAATATAAGTGCATTTGGAGAGTAATATGAAAGCAGACTTACCTAACAGCTGTCTCTCGGTAAATCATTTCGATTAAATTGAAAGGGGAATAATTGAGGAAGCCATCAATAACATAAATGATGCCATTGCTACATCCAATAGCCGGGTTGATTAAATAGAGTCTTTGCATTCCGGAACCGGCATCGACGTAGATGCCTAAAAGAAAACATTTGTCAGTTAATCTGTAGCAAGCAACAGCGAAAGAAAACAGAAAGAAAAACATTAAAAAAATAATCCAAAATTTATTTCACGTAAAGGGGGTGACAGTGACCTAATGGTTAATAACACGAGAAATGGGATTCCTCAGCCGAATGTAAATTCCGTCTGAGAGAGTTTCTGCTTACTTCGAACTATTCGCCTTGGAAAAGTATGACTCATTCTCCCTCCGGCTCCAGATATGGTAAAATATTAGGATGTTCGGAGAGTAACAACGTTTTATCAGAAAGGATATAGTCTTGGGTTTGACGATAAACTACATCCGGCAACAAGTTCAATCAGGAGATTGGAGGTGTTGAGAGGTGTGAAACCACCCCTTAATTGCTGTTGTTCCCAGTCCCAACCTGACCTGGGTTGGTAGCACCTGTTATGGTCCCAGCTATGAGAAAATACCTATGAACTATGAATGTATAAAAATATATTTTTTATGCTAAAAATAACAAAATACATTTTTATATATTAAAAAAAAATACCAACACTACACATTTGTAGTAGATTTACCAATAATAGATTTCTTTTGAAAATGGCCAACAATACATTTTACCTGTAGTTAAAAACATACAATTGCATTCAAAATATATTTAGTTGAAGCCATAAAATTGTGTTCAAAATATTTAGATTTCGGCATTAAATAACCCATAGAGATGTTGATATGCCGCTAAACAGAATCAGACAATCAACCAGAAAGAATATTAAAAAAATTTAAGTTGAATTTGTTAATTATTGGTGCTTGGAATGTAATAAGTTTTTACCTGAAAGATTATAAAAACAAATTTTTGTTAAATTCATTTAAATATTATTGATCAGAAATATAATTTTAATTTTCGGCGACAGCTGCCCAATGGGAAGTCAAATATTTGATTCCACCTTCAAAAGAATCTGGGTTTTCGTTGAAAATGTTTTCAACTACTTTGTTTCTGAATATTTTGTCTCTTATAAAATATTCTTGAGATTATTGTCTCTTATAAAATACTAGAAGCATGGCCCGCAGTTGCCCGTGCTTGATTCAAAAATCGTACGACTCATACAGCACTTTCCCGCGCATAGGGTGACCTTAAATCAATCTGCATTTAGGAAATACCCAACCGGAAAAACATTTTTAAGGGGTGATCGATTGTCCATTTGCACTCTGTTTGGGGGGCGCTCAGAGTTGAAACTCCACATGGTGACTCCCAATGGCCTCCTCATAAATCCGATTGGTTTTCGCTAAAAACCGACATGCGGTTCAGGTGCAACCTAGGCGTATCGGTTTTTGGGTTTTATCGATTTTCCGCGCTGTTTAGGGGTCCGTGGTCATGAAACTTCTGGACAACACTTCTAATGGTAGACTCTAAGAGGGTGTCAAATTTGGTTGAAATGCAATAATTCCTTCTGTAAGCAGATTTTTTCGATTATCGATTTTTTCGGAACCTGATTCCGAACTCAAAAATCGGGCTCCGTCATGTCCTTAAGGCAGCCATTTGCAAACTTGTGGTGAAAACCGCATCGAAATCGGGTGAGAAATGCGGCCTGGGCGAGGTAACAACGCCCACGACAGACACACAGACAGACAACATGAGAAATATAGATAGTAGATTCTTGAGATTTTCTTGAAATATTCTTGAGATTATTTTGACTCTTATAAAATATTCTTGAGGTCTTCTTGAAATATTCTTGAGATTATTTTGTTTCTTATGAAATATTCTTGAGGTCTTCTTGAAATATTCTTGAGATTATTTTGTTTCTTATGAAATATTCTTGAGGTCTTCTTGAAATATTCTTGAGATTATTTTGTTTCTTATGAAATATTCTTGAGATCAAAACATTTGAAAAACTGTATATTTGACATACTTTGTTTCTTTCTTTACACTATATAATTTCGGATTATTATCATCATCATTGTTGTTGTTCTCACAACGTTTCGCCTTTTGTGCTTTTCAGTCTTCCTCAGGTGTGTATCGATCCTGGTAACCTACGAGGAATTATCAACTCAACCCTTTATTTAATCTACAGGGATTGGCTGTTCTCGTTCCACTGCGCATATCTAGAGATATATTGGCTAGTTGCTATTTTTATTTAGTACAGTTCAGTTACTGCTCGCAAGTTTCCCCTGGGTGCAAGCGCATACTGCCCGACCCAGGGTTTGAACTCTTTTTTTTCTGAATCGTTTGTCATTTATGAAATGATCTAGTGATCAAAAGAAATAAAATAAATTAGGTGCCAAATTTGGTGAACAAGTAATAACGAAAAAAACCTTCCATCCTAACGATCTTGTTTTGCGGGTATGTGTGTGGGAATTTAACCAATCATTTGAAAAATTGCACCTTTTCTGTTTATCAAAGTCGTACAATGTCGACTAATACTTCGTTTATAAAATGTTATCAATAAATGTCTTCATTGATGGCTAGCCCATATTCCTGTAGTACGTAATAGACTAGGAATTTCACGTCATTTAAATCCGTGCGAGATAGACGCTAAGAAAAAGCAAGTTTCAATTGACGGCATCATATTGAATTAGAAAGAATTAAGATTGTAATTACATTTGTAAAATACAATGTCTTGAAAATGTTTCAACTTAACTCGAAGGACTTAACGTCAATAGTGTAAAGAATCTATGCACAAATGTCTGGCGAAGATACGAGCTCTGGATGGCAAATGTCGGAATCAAACAAATATAGAAACTGAACTAATCTGTCAAAACAACGGAATATAGAGAAGTAGCATGAAAAGTCTCATTGGACTAGCGTCAGAAGATTCTTACCAAAAGTTAAACGAAGTCAACAAGCTAAAACGTCGCGAAGTCAGCAGAAGGTTGTAAAAACTTTGGAGAATCGATACGCTTCCAGCACCCAGGTTCAAGAGACAGGGTAAGACCGCACGTGGCGGTATGCTAAACCAATGAGCCGGCATAGGTCCTTCCTCCCGCAACCGCCTATAATCCCTGCTGTCACGTGTGTCCCTCACCTCTAATAAAATGAGTAAGAAAAAAAAAGGAAACGTCTTTCATTGATACCATCTCTGTGGTAACATTGGGATCCGATGACGACACGGAACGCAACAAAAGAAGTCTGATTCTACAGAAGGATGTTGAAAATAACATGAACGGGACATGTTAATAAAAAACGTTTTTAAGAAAAACGTGAAGAAAAAGTACACTAGTACCTAGAATAAAAAGAGAAACTGCCGAAAATCCTGGGTCACATAATGAGAAAAGGGGGAACTGAATAATAAGACACTCAATACTGAACACAAGAAAGAGTGTAAAAGCGAGTCGCCTATCTCTCGAGCTTTTGAAAATATAAAGCAGAACTTTGGAGATGTTGCCGGGAGCTATGACCGACCTCATTATGAAGGGATGCGACATATATTAGAAGAAGCAATATACAGGCTGTCCATAAAGTTCGTGTGCACTTAAAAATAACATTTGTGTGCACTTTAAAACAAAATACAGGGTGTCCATAAAGTTCGTATGCACTTTAAAAAATTTATAACTTCATTTGTATTTGCGATAGAAATAATTTGTAAAAAGGATTAGAAAGAAGTAAATCTATATTTCTTAAGTTTTTATTGAAAATTTATTTAAGTTTCCACATGTCCTCCATCATTAGCAATACAAAGGGTTATACGATTTTGCAGTTCACGGAGAACATTTGCCAACTGATTTACAGTAATGCCTGAAATGACATTAGTTATTTAGCTACACTTAAAACTAGGTACATTAAATTTTATGCCATTTTTTACAGATTATTTCTATCGCAAATACAAATAAAGTTATAAATTTTTTAAAGTGCACCCGAACTTTATGGACACCCTGTATATGATTCGCTATTATCATCGATGGGCGTGTGGTGGAGAGGTTAGCGTATTCGTTTTCCGAGCATGAAACTCAGGTTCCAATCTCGATTTGTCGTGAAGGTGAGTTTTTAATGCTATTGGTCTGAGTGGGGTGATCCTAGTGTACAGCAACTTTAAAAAACGCATGAAAACCATACCAGGGGTTGGTCCAAGTCTTGTTAGTAAAATTGGTTAAACGTAATTTTTCGTCGATGTCCCAAGTCATTGTGGCCAAGGACTGGCCATTTGTAAATTTAAGCAAGGTCCACTCAGCAGAGATAGAGTATAACCAACAGGTGGGTTACGTGAGCGTTGAAAAAACGCAAATATGCCTATGTAGCAGGGATTGGCTTGTCACCATAGAAGCGGGTATACTCGTGTACGAGTGACCATGCATTATGTTGATTTTCTAAGCGTAGCTTAGATGAGGCACAAGGTCAAAAGTACGAGGCACCCAGTGAGGATCGAACTCACTACACACTAGTAATTGATCTAGCGAGACAAGCTAGCTAACCATAACACCACATCGAGGTGTCCAATGACCGTGCATTATGTATACCCAATAAACATATCCACTATAGATAACGAGGTCTTCCTGAACTTTATACTGAATTTGACATTGTTTCATATAATTTTTTTTATAATTTCACCCAAACCAGGGCGATAAAGCCACTAAGATGCAAGAGGTTACTGGGGGTGAAAGAGATGAGAAAACTATTGAGGAGAAAGGACACTAAAAGAACAATATTCAGGAATACAGAAGGTGTTGATTTGCGTACATTTACATTTTTGAAGATTGTAAATAGCAGGGAAGCAAAATATCAGAAAAGAATTCCACAGGTGAGAAGTGCAAGGAAAGAAACTATTAGAATAGAACTCGCGGTTAAATATAGCTATTTCAACAGGACAACAATGAGACCTAATAGCCAATCCAGTAGTATGCTTAAATTCATACAGTTGAGTTACCAAGGAGAGTTGATTAGAACAACAGCCATGAAAATACTCCTAGAAAAGACGGAGAGAAGCCACGTCACAGCGATGGAAAATTGACGAGTTGCCAGGACAGGAACGATAACATTGCAGACACTTGCAGACAGCAATATGAAATGCACGGACGAATGGTTGATCTATCAATCTTTAAGATGGATTCTAACGAAAAAGAATTGTTTGCTACGACGCAGTCACCGAAGCAACTAATCTAAGATTAATCTGATCTAAAAACATTTCTTTTTACGAAAACCTTCAGATATTAACTTTCCTTCAAGTTTCTTTTTTAGTCACCATATTCGGTCAGTTATGTGCCATGCGGGATACATGATTAGGCGATCATGTATGTTTCGATACATGATTGACGAGGCAGATTTTTTCCAGCAGTAGGTTATCATTTCTTTCTGGTACACCAGTTGCTTTCCAAGGCTATAGAACCCGGTCTGTCCTGCTATTTATCCATAGCTGTCAGGAAGAAGAAGAGGATTCATACCCTTCCCAAGGGTATTAGCACGTCAGTGAATGTAATGGATTCGACTGGAATTCGAACCCAGCTTTTCGACTCCTCAATCTGAGCCATTACTCCACCGTGCCGCTCCACACCATATTAGGGAAAATAATGTCGGAGTTTAATCGAAAATAGCCGTAAGTCATGAGTAATTAATAAAAGAAATGCTTTAAAATTCAGATTTTAAAGCAAAACTTTTATGCTTAATGTTTCTACGAGAAGAAAAGAAAACACATTGTGTTAAATTCTAAGCGTTTGGATCTTTGAAGAAAATAATCGATAAAATCACTCACCGCCTGCGTTGTTTCGAAATATCTTGAATGACACATTGAACTGGTTTTTAATGATGCATTTCTTACGCAGGCGTGATCGCAGGTATTTCCAGTCGAGGCGGGAATTTTGAACAACATGGCCGGCAAATATCTGAAACATGTTTAAAAGGCATAATTAAATTAATGTCAAAAGAAACTTTTCAAAGAGATAGATTTTAATTCTTGGCGATTAATATGGATAATGTATTTGTAATGAGATTTACGTTATCCATTAAATACACACTGCCTTTCTGTTTTCACTTTCTTTCTTTTTTCTTTCTTTCTTTCTTTTTTCTTTCTTTCTTTTTTCTTTCTTTTTTCTTTCTTTTTTCTTCCCTTTTTCTTTCTTTCTTTTCTTTCTTTCTTTCTTTCTTACTTTCTTTTTTCTTTCTTTCTTTTTTCTTTATTTTTCTATATTTTCTTTCTTTATTACTTTTTCTTTATTTCTTTGTTTCTTTTTTCTTTCTTTCATCTTTTTTATTTCTTTTTTCTTTTTATATCTTTTTCTTTTTTCTTTCTTTATTTCTTTTTCTTTTTTCTTTCTTTCTTTTCTTTCTTTCTTTCTTTCTTTTTCTTTCTTTTTTCTTTCTTTCTTTTTTCTTAATTTTTTTTCTTTCTTTTTTCTTAATTTCTTTCTTTTTTCTTTCTTTCTTTCTTTCTTTCTTTCTTTCTTTCTTTTTTCTTAATTTCTTTCTTTCTTTCTTTCCACCCGTCATGCAACAGACAGCAAATTCGGCCACTACACGATTCACTCATATAATAACTTCTGTCTGTTATGAGTGTTTCACTATTTTGAATCTGTACAAGACAAAATATTGCTCAGTTTACTCTCTCTTTCTTTCTCTCCCTCTCTCTCTCTCTCTCTCTCTCTCTCTCTCTCTCTGTGCCCCTGTCTGTCTGTCTCTCTCTCTGTCTTTCTATATATATATATATATATATATATATATATGTGTGTGTGTGTGTGTGTGTGTGTTTAGGAGCGTGTGTGTGTCTATGTGTGTGTTTGTGTGTGTGTTGTATGCGTGGTATGGGTGGATGTGCGTGGGAATGAACACTCACATCAGGAATAAAAATAAACGCCATATGTTAACCAATTTTGGGAAAATAGGATTCAATTGTCTTCGACAGTGAAATTTACCATTTCAAAAGATGCATCAAATATTGGAAATTGAATTGGCGTTTGGAAACTTTGATAAATTTCTACACATTCACCGAAATATTTGGTTGTACACACACATATATATATATATATATATATATATATATATATATATATATATATATATATATATATAAAAAAGGTGAAAAAAATTTCGAGTAAAAACAAAAAAATTTAAATTCAAATTGCCCAAAGTCTCACTTCCACTTGTGCGCATGCGTAGTCCAATCACCGTAAACAAACTTAGTCTGTTGAAGTCCTAAAGCATGAGATGCGTCAGACAAAAACATTTCCACTTTGTCATATTTCTTTTCCCTAAGTTTGCACTTGAATGACCTACATTCATGGCCTCGTGCCAGACGAAGCAACATCCAGTAAATGCCTATAAAAACATTCATATGCGCAAAGAGAGAGTTATAAAATTAGAAATTATTTTATTGATCTCTGAGAATAATGCATGGAAGGAAATTGAATTGCTATAGATTGTTTTAACAGGCCCTCAAATTCATTCTGGTTTAATTTAATAAATAAATAATTAAACATGTCTCTTAATTTGCAAACAGAAACGGTGCGGGCAAAATAAACTTAAAGACAAAATTAATTCGTAAAACAAGATTAATTTTTATAGAGACTATTACGAATCAAATTTCATGATTTAAAAAAAAACTGTCTATATTTCTGAGATGAGGTATTATAGACACTATTTATATTATTCGGACTATTGTCCTCATTTATATCGCCACGTTTATCCCAACGATTCGGCCGTTGTACGCTCCAGCCTTCTTCAGGTCTTTGGAATGTCGAGCTGAACCCTTTATTTCCCTCACTGTGGTAGACTGTTCTAGTTCCACGTGCCATGTCTAATGGATGTCAGTTATCTCCTGTTAATTCCTCTCTGAAAGTTCTCCACTGCCTTAACCAGGTATTGAACTCACATCCTTTGTGCCATGTGTCCTAAGGCAGTGGAAAACTTTCAGCGTGGAATTAACAGGAGATACGATTTATGGCATGTTCAAATGGCATCTATCACTACTCTTACGTTTTGGAGACCATATTAAGAAAAATATATTATGATTTTTTTTATTCTTTCTGGGAATGACCAAGAGAAAAATAAAACTGCGTAAAGCGAAACTGTGAGTCGAGAAAACCAATCTCTCACTCTCTCCTTATGTACGTACACACACAAGCACGCACGCGCACGCGCACACACACACATACGCAGACACGCATATATATATATATATATATATATATATATATATTGCCTTTACGGTAATCGATAACAACGAACAACTTTGTATAAATACTAAGTGTTGTACTACTTGCACCCCTGAAGATGATCTTGAAAAAAGATTGAAATACTTGGAGGATTAAAATAAAAGAATTTTAAACAGCTTTAGCACATTTATCTCATCCTTTAACATCACACGGAAGGTTATTCGTGAGTATGAACGGATTTTGTTAAAAATTAGCAGACATAATGTCTGTAATTTATTCAATTAGTCATGTGTTTTTTATATATAAATGAATGCGGTATATTAAATTATTTTAAAAGAGCTTTTATTATGCATAATAGATATAACTTTTAAAAATTGGTGTCAGTTCTTTAATAACGCACCAGAGATCTCATATTCATATATATATATTCATAATACATATAATACAAAATACATATACATATATTTTTCTTTTTTTTTCTTTTTCTCTTTCTTTCTTTCTTTCTTTATTTTCTATCTATCTATCTATCTATCTATCTATCTATCTATCAGTCAGTCCCTATATATAACTTACACTCTTTATCAATCTCTCGCATTCTCTCAGTCACAAACATTTCCTCTCACACGCATTCTCTCTTAAGTAAACGATCCCTCCCTCTCACGCACATACGCTCGCACATAACTCCCTCTCACACAGGGCAAACGAATTTTCTTCAGTCGATCTTCTCGAAATTTAAGATGATCGAATTTATATATCAATATCACTTTATGCGCACATATTCATATATATATGTGTGTGTGTGTGTGTGTGTGTGTAGCAATAAAACTTCAAAACAGATAGATAGATAGATAGATAGATAGATAGATAGAGTACATGTCTCCGTACAGGACAAAGTTTGTAATTCTTGTCGATCAAATTGTATTTTTTTCTTTTTTCTTCCACAACTTTCGCGAACTCTTGGGAACAGATGTCATATCCCGTTAATCTAGTAAAAACTGTTTAGCACATCATCAAGAGATAAGCTGGTTTGAGCCTCATTCAATTCGCCATCAAGACGGCCGAACGGGCGTAAAACAACGAAAAAGAAAGAAATTATAACCCTATAAACCATAAGAGTAAAAGACTAAAAAACAATATTGACTTTGAAAAACTGAAAATATCATAGCGAAAAGAGGAAAAAAAAGAGGGGGGTAGATTTTACATGATAATAATCATGAAATGACAACAACAACAACAACAACAACAATAATAATAATAATAATAAGAAGAAGAAGAAGAAGAAGAATATAATTTCGAATGTGACTTCATATATTTATCGGTAACGCAGCCTGAACATCACTCTGTAGTGCATTCGCCTTATTTTTTTCCTATTATTCATTTCGAATTTATTTGATGATATTTTTCTCAACGTCATAATGTAACTTGCCTGTGCCATTTCTATAAATACGTTCATGCTAATTTTTCTAATGAACTTTCCTCTATAGTACCTAGACTTAATGAATAGAAACGCAGTACTAGATTGGCAGCTAGGTCTCATCATTTTACAATTTAATTGTCTATATCTAACCTTAATTTCTATAATAAAATTTCATTATCTCGCAATTATCATTTGTGGTACACTTTTCCAGATTCTTCCTATCCAGCCAACTTTGGTCTTCAAAAATTTAAATGTGCTGTCAATCGTTATTTATTATTTTCTTGATTCCATTTTTTATTGTTCTGTCTCAATAATGGTTTTCCTTATTCTTTCACACTACATAACCCTTTGCGTCTTAGTGGCTTTATTGTCTTGCTTGTGGTGATATGATTTTAAAAAAATCTATCAACTAAAAACCATTTTAATACGTGAATAATAAATAAGATAGGATCTATATTATTAATTATTTTATTTCTGTAATAAACAATAATAATTTTTGAATAGGTTTTCTATCTTCAGCGACAGATAAATTTTGTAGTTAAGTCATAACGACATCAAAAATTTTAGTTCATATCCTGCATTTTGTAACACTCAACGTCATATTCAAACGCAATATAAATTTAAGTTAAATCTTCATTTATTATTACATGATGATGAAAAAGATAAAGCCAACTCAAAGAACTGAAAAAGAAATTGAGACTTATCAGTCCGGGGAAGGCTAGAAGAAAATTTCCATCTAGTTTGACATACCATATTCTGTTCCATTCTCTTTGAAATCGTTCAGTAAGAAATGAGTGCCTTATCAACACTGAAAAGACACAATTGTCCTTGGCAGATTTCAGACTCAAGGTTTGACTAAAATCGTAAGTGTAAAGTATATTTCGGACATATTTTAAAAAGAGTGGAAAAGTTTTGTTCAAATATGTTTGGTCTCAGACACAAATTTCTGTCCTCGGAAAATTGAATCGATAAGGATTTTCGGGCGGATTTTGCAAACAAAAGCCACTACTACTGAAGAAAAAATCTTTCTTAGTATTTTCTAAAAAGATTTTGGATTAAACAAATAGAGTTGCTTGCTCAGATGAAACAACGTTCAAACTTTTATGATATAGCCAGCAACATTTCGTTTGGGGAAAAAAAATGAGGGCCCAGCGTTCGATATAAAAATATAATCCGAAACATGAAGCATGCTGGTGTGTACAGCATTTTATGAGGTTGTTTTAAGAGGTACTGGAAAACTCCCAATGACTGAGGAAGCAATGGATTCACTATTTCTTTTCGAAAAAATCATTTACCCTTAAGATTACATGAGGTAGGAGATTAACAGAAGGATTTAGATTAGGTAGGGGATTAACAAAAGGATTTAGATTAGGTAGGAGATTAACAAAAGGATTTAGATTAGGTAGGGGATTAACAGAAGGAAACGATATTCTGTTCAGAAGGTTCTACTTCCTGGGTCTTTGTTTATCATCTGCTTGGAAAATAAACAAAAACAAATATTTAACAAAGAACTTATTTACCCTTTAACCAAACACCTTTCAGTAATTTGTAGAACATTAATTTCAAGGACGATTGGTTGTTTTTCGTTGTTTTGTTTTGTGGCATATCAACCTCAGTGGGTCATTTAATGCCAACAAATTTTTTGAAATAGATACATAGCGATAGTTTGGTAAAAAAGATATATATATATACATATATAGTTGAACCATTTTTAATTACTCATATTTTTGAGTACAATCACATGTGTTGCTGTTTTTTGTTTTTTGTTTTTTCAAAAACTTATAGCTGGTAATATTTTTTTTTCAAAAATTAATTTCTAGTAATAATAGTTTTCAAAGTATTTCCGGTATTAAAACCTATTTTTACTCTTTTACAATGCTTTTTACCTCAGTTTCGGGGTTAACTATTTGCCCATAACAGGGACCCTAACAGGTGCTACCAGGCCGGGTCAGGGTGGAGCTGGGAACCCCAGCAATTAAGAGGTGGTTCCACGCACCTCAAAACCTCCTGATCAGAGGCCTTGCTGTTGGAAGATTTATCGTCTTACCCTGGACGCGGATGTAGTTTATCGTCATACCCAGGACGCTTCACGGACGGGATGCACGGATAAACGACACTTTTGAAGAAAATGACTTTGTATTCGCTAAAAGGTCTTCGATTGAATTGATCTTTTAGGATATAACTTGCAAAGGCATACTCGGTGAAAAAATGATCACAGCGCTAGATGTAAAAAAATACCATCCTGACAGTGAAGCATGGCGATGGATTCACCAAATGTGTAGGTTGATTTAATGCAAAAATCATCAGCGTCGAGGAAAAATGGATTCGATAAGATAAAAGTTTGTTTTTTTTTTTTTCGGAAAATTATTTACCATCTGCCATCAACCTTAGAATAGGCAGAGCCTTTTCGGTCTTCGTCTATTGTCTGCGAGTAAAATAAGCTTCTTAACAAAGAAATTTTGTTGGCCTTTAACCAAACTTATTTCCGCAATTTGTAGAATATTGAACCAACAACGATTCCACAAATGGGATCCACTTTTGAAGAAAACTTATAAAGTCTCCGTATTCGTTAACACTCTAAATTAAAAACTCTGAATTCAAGCCCCCCCCCCCAAACTATGAGTAAATAGTAAGGCAGACTGGACTCTGTAGCCATGGTTGTCAACCAGGGTAAGAGAAGGATAACCCTGAATTCAAATCCGGAGCAGGAGTCCTTAAAACAGTATGAGGTTACGTTCAATTCCGTTTCTGACAACTCCTACGATGACGCGTAAATCATTTAACTAAGTCAAAAATTATTTGAATGATTACCTGAACACAGTTATTTGGTTGGAAAGAAATAAAAAAAGGATCTTTTAGCATATAACCCACAAGGTTATATCAGGAGAAAAAAAAATGGATAGATATCACGATCTAAAGAAAAAATACCAACAGTAAAGAATGATGGTGAACGCCCTTACAGCCTATTGAAACTATAGGGAATGCTTATTTGCCGATACATTAACGATTTTCTTAATTAGATTTTAAATTGCTCTCTGCTTTAAGCATTCAGCGCACTTTTGTTTATTCTTCTACAACGGCGTAAATTATTTTACGCATATCAAATTACTTAATCTATAATTTTATATTATTGATGTTTGCTAAACCTAAGCCGTGTCGTTCTGGGTAAGACGATAAACTACATCCAACAGCAAGGAGGTTTTGAGAAACGTGAAACCACCACTTAATTGCTGGTGTTCCCAGGTTCGCTTTGACCCGGGGTGGCACAACCTCTTAGGGTCCCAGCTATGGGCAAATAGTTAACCCCCAAACTCGAGCCAAAGTACTATGAAAGTGTAAAAATAGGTTTTAATACCAGCAATATATTATTGTAAAAAATTATTGCCAGCAATGAAATTTGAAGAAAAAAAGTTATTCCAAACAATGCATTATTATCAGCAAAATATTTTTTGAAAAATATTACCAGCAATAAAAATCTTGTCGGCATCAAAATAACGTATTGAGATTGATATGCCGTAAAACAAACCAAACCAAATCAAAAACCTAAGCCGTATGTGCTAATACCGTTGGCAAAGCTATGAATTCATCTTTTCTCTACTCCCACCAAAGGATAAATACCATGACAGATTGGGTTCTATAGCTTTGACAGGCAACCAGTCTAGGAGAATGAAAAATTATGAATTCCTAACTTCCAATTATGAGTAAATAGTAGGGCAGACTGGGCTTTGTAGCCACGGTTGTCAACCAGACTAAGCGAAGGATAACTCTGAATTCAAATCCGGGGCCGGAGTCCCAGGACAGCACAATGTTGAGTTTCGTCCAGACAACTCTTGCGACGCCGCCAGTGCCAAATTGTATTGTCCTCTGCCTTTCCCTTGGACAACATCGGTGGCCTGCAGAGGGGATAACTGCGGATCTCTCAACTGCGCCCTGCAATGGGAGTGGCATAACTCTTAAGGCGCAGATCCATGGCCTCTCGAAACTAAAGGATGCCATAGAAGCCTAAACAACTTAGACAACTATACGTATTCAAAATTGATGATGCTCATACTGTAGAAAAAATTACCGATCTCAGATTTAACTGCAGAGCGACGTTCGTGATTCTATGATCTCGAATCTCTATCTATAAAAGGCAGGATGTGTGTGTGTGTGTAACGACTGCACGCAATTTTCGACGGATTTGTACCAAAATTTACATGCACATGCTCCAAATTAGCGGGAA